CTTCACAGGTGAAACTTGGGTTTTGGAGTGTGAATGCTGAATTCTGCCTGGGCCCTTTGCTAGGTGTCTGACCTTAGGCAATTTCACCAACCTTAATAAACCACAGTTGGGTCTTGTTTTGTTTTGTTTGTTTGTTTAATGGAAATAGTCTGTCTCCAGAGTTGTAAGAATTATAATTAGTAAGTGCTGGATAAGTATAGCTGCTGTTATTATTTGTATATGACAATGCAATGGATTGGATTTTAAAGTCCACTGGGCCACTGGAAAAAATATTCAACAATATTGTAGCCCCAAATAAATGCCCTGTCCTTTTGGAAAAGGCTTTTGTTTTGTGTGGGCTTCCCTTGTGGCTCAGCTGGTAAAGAATCCACCTGCAATGTGGGAGCCCTGGGTTCAATCCCTGGGCTGGGAAGATCCCCTGGAGAAGGGAAAGGCTACCCACTCCACTATTCTGGCCTAGAGAATTTAGTTGGCCCATGGGGTTGTTTTGTTTTTGTTTTAGGTGTTGTATGTGCCCTTTTCACCCTTAACAGAATTTCTAGGATTAAGGACATATTCCTAAAGTTCGAGACTGGGACTCTCATCTGAGACAGAGTGAGTTGGGGGAGCTATCACAGATTTAATGTAAGTCCAGAAAGCCGAGATGTTCACAATGGGAGAGTATTTCAAGCAGGCCTAAGGTAACTTTAAGTTTCTCTGGAAGAATAATTCTCATGTCTGATGCTGACTATTTTGGGAAAATACTTGCCACCATACTCTTACTGAAAGATAATTTGTGTGGGTTTTCAGCTAGGTGGGCTCCGAGATTTTGCTGCCCATTTTCGACTTGGGCTAAAAGTGATGGTCTTAATCATTACTAGTACGTGTACTGGAAAGAATATTAACTTTGGAATCAAATAGAATATGAATTTGAATCCAAGCTCTGCTACTTTATAGCTAAGTGATCATTGTAAAGTTATTTAATACCTCTGAACTTCAGTTTCTTCATCATAAATGTAAGATAATAAAACCAATCTTTTAAGTTGGTTGTGAGGGTTGGGATGTGTGCTATGCATAAGTAGATGTTTTAAAATGTTTATTTTGGGACTTCCTTGGTGGTCCAGTGGTTAAGACTCTCTGCTTCCACTTTAGGAGCCAGGGTTCAGCCCCCAATCAGGCAACTAAGATCCTGCATGCTGCCTGGCCTGGCCAAAGAAAAAAGAGAAGGAAAAATTAAAATGTTCATTTCCTTTCTAAGAGACTGATTTTTAACCTTTTAGCTTCCTCTTGTGTATCACTAGGATTTTTCTTGCTGACATGTAGATCTCAACTTGTGTAACTTGAAACTCCTTATTCCCCCTCTTCTTCCTCTATTTATTTGTTAATGGCTTTGGCAATCTTCTAATTGTTCGAGTTTGATGATGCCACCTTTGATTCCTTCTCACCCTAAGCCCGTTTTATTCTAAGAACTCTCAATTCTTTCTTCCCACTTTTCCATTCCCATCTATGCTAATTTAAACCTTGAATACCTTTCACTTCAACAATTTTAGGATCTTCTTGACTGGTAATTAAGATTCCAGTCTTTTCCTCTCTTACCAAGTTACTCACTGCTGCAGAATCAGCTTTTAAACATGGCTCTTACTATGTTACTTGCTTTTTCAGAAACTCCTAGTATCCAGCCATTGAGACTGGGTAATCTACTTATAGAACTCTTTTTTTTTTAACATGTGTGGATATTGAAGCTCAGGGAAATTATTTTTTTCATTTGCCATAAAGGTCACTCATGTGCTAGGGAGTGACGCATTACAACTAGACCTCACCTCTGCTCACCCACAGGCTAGTTCTTTCCACTAGGATTATGGCCCAAATTCCTTAGCATGGTTTTCTTTTTTTACCACCTGAGCCACTAGGGAAGCCCCATGGTTTTCTTTTTTGTTGTTCTTGTTGTTGTTTTGACCTCGCCACTTGGCTTGCGGGATCTTAGTTCCTCAGCCAGGGATCGAACCCAGGCCCACAGCAATGAAAGCATCAAGTCCTAACCACTGGACCATCAGGGAATTCTCATTATCATGGTTTTCAAAGTTCTTCCCAGTCCGTCCTCATTCTGTCTTTCCCTACTTTATCTTCAACTTCTTTTGCAACTAGAGTCTAACTCCATTAAAGTATCTTTTGCTGTTTCAGCTCCCTAGTGGTGTAACAGTATCCCTCCTATCTGAAATGCACTGTCCTCCTCCTGCCCTCACTTGATAAAATTCTGCTAGTTCTGTAACTATCAAGTCTTCCCTTCTCTCCCACCACGCCAGAAAATCAAGTCCTGTACTCCTAGACCATGCATTGCCTCTAACCACATCTGTCTTGTGCTACAATTATTTGTGTGCGTTAGCAAGCTTGGTAGATTACATACATTATTTGAGCAGGACCTTGTAGGAAGTGGTTACTCAGCAACCTGTTACCAGAGGGCTTCACCAGGTGGCAGTAGTGGTAAAGAACCTGCCTGCCAATGCAGGAGACATAAGAGACTCAGGTTTGATCCCTGGGTCAGGAAGATCCCCTGGAGAAGGGCGTGACCACCCACTCCAGTATCCCTCCCTGGAGAATCCCATGGACGGAAGAGCCCACTGGGCTACAGTCCATGGGATTGCAAAGTCAAACATGACTGAAGCGACTTAGCATGCGCACAACCTGGTACCAGAGTCTATCAAAAATCATGTGCTGATTATCACCTTTATATGTTTCACAGGGTGCTAATCACATTGCTAGAAAGTAATAGTATGCTTCTATGAAGATGTGGTCAGGGTGTGAGCCACCTCATTCCTTGAGTGTGAAGTGTGCTTATCCTAGCATTATACCAAGGTAGTTGTTCTGACTTGGCTTTCTGGCTGAGAGCAATCAAAACCACAGAATTAGACTTGGGAATTAAAATCCTTTTACTTTTTCACACTAAGTCCCTCAAATAATTAATGCTTTTCCTTTTATCATGAACAAATATGAGAACATAATCTTTTGTATTTTTTTAATTCGGAATTGATCCCTTTAGAATTGATATCATTTATATGTGTAGTTACACTGGGGAAGCATAATTATACCAAATAATGTCTTAAAGTGTTGGCCTGTTTCCTGATGTGTTTTAAAGGGTCATTATTGTGGTTTTACATAATTATGTTTAGCTGAATACACAGCTGTGTCTTTTTCTTGTTAGAGAAAGGACTGACACTGTCTGGTAGGTCTGTCCAGTTACAAACTGAAAAGCTGATAGATAAATATCATATATTAAGATTATTTGATACATGTAGGATTATTTCAGAGAACATGTATAGAATTAAGATTATTTTATCCAGGGAGAAGAGGTAATACAAAAAAACTAAATTTATTGCTTACTTATTCTATGTCAGGGTCTGTTTTTCTTTGTCTTATTTATTTCTCATGAAGATGCTATGGGGGAAAAAAAAGATACTATGAAGTGAGACTTCCCTGGTGGTCCGTTGGCTGAGACTCTGTGCTCCTAAGGCCGGGGTCCCAGGTTCAATCCCTGGTCAGGGAACTAGACCCACGTGCCACAACTAAGAGTTTGCATGCCACAGCTAAAAGATCCTGTGTGCCACTGCTAAGACCTGGTGCAGCCAACTAAATAAATAAAGATAAATACTTTCCTAAAAATGTACTATGGGGTAAGTACTATTGTTATGGATAAAAAATCTAACTTTTATTGAAGGACATACAGCTTTAAGTGATGGGGCCAACACTCCCATTTAAATGCATGTGTCTCTGATACCAGAACTCCTTACCATAAGAGGGTTCTATGTTGCCCTCCAACTTGGGAATTTATACAAACAAATAAACAAAAACAAAAAAACTAGCATTGTTTTCGGACAAGGCTTTAGTGAGGAGTATAGGGACTACTTGTGGAAAAGTAGTGTGGTCTTTTGGGGCTGCTTATCACTTGCTTTGCATCACAGAACTTTTAGTGTGAAATGGAAGCCCATGTTGCTTGGTTATAGATACAGTGTTCTGCTGTTGTCAAGGCTGTTGGAAGCAGTACCTGATGAATCATACATTCTACCAGATCAGTTATGTTATGTGGTTGTCAAAAGAGCTGCAAGTAGTACTTTCATCTATATTGTTCACTCTTCAAATAAGGAAACTATTGACTCATTTCTAATCTCACCTCTTTTGAACAAAGGTTGGGACTCCTTTGATAATTACTAGAGCAAAACCAAATAATCTAGTTAATGGATAGGGTCTAGGTGATGTCAAGAGCATGACTTTATGGTATTTTTTGACTTGAAGCCAATACTAATATATTTAAATGTTTTGATACTATAATATGCCTAGTATTTAAAATATATTATCGCCTTAAATCCACATCAAAAACCCTACAAAGGGGTAAGTATTCTCATTTTTCACTGAGGTAATTAAAACTGAAAATGTTATATAATTTGTTCAAGGTTACAGAATTATGATTTCACTTGAAGTCTATCTTGCCTTTAAGCCTGCGCTCTTTATATTATTCAGTGCTGTATCTGTAGCTCTTTCTCTAATACTGCGTGGTCAGTGCTGCAGAGATTGGGAAAAGAAGGCAGCCAAAAGAAACTTGGGTGTAGGTAGAACCTAATTTGGACCTGACTCTGCAGAGATGCCAGTTGTACTTCCCCTGGGATGTAACTCAGAAGAGTAGAATATTTCACTCCAAATGTGACTTTGGAACAGACTTAAGTTCAGGGAAAGGCCAATTGATGTTTGCACAGTGGGGTCAGTCATAAAATGATGCAAACTGAAAGGGACCTTAGAGATCACCTGATCTAACCTTCTCATTTTACAGGAAACTACAATCCCAATTCAATCATCTGATCTAGGTTACAGTTTTTGAGAGAACCGGTAGAGGAATACAGTCTGCTGCTCCAGGGCTCTCTGCCCTCACTTACACCACACTGTTGCCAGTCGTTGGATGCTGGAGAACTCTCTTCTGTGTCTAATATTCTGACTTTCTTTATCACATAGGTATTTCAGTATCTGTAGACAAGATGGAACCAACTCCATTTAACAGACGGCAATGGACTTCTCTATCGTTGAGGGTTACAGCCAAAGAACTTTCTCTTGTCAACAAGAACAACTCATCGGCCATTGTAGAAATATTCTCCAAGTAAGTGCTGATCCTGGCCCAAAAGGACCATTTGTCTTGAGCAAACATCACCACCTGTCAGGGAGATCGCTAAAGAAAGGACATGGTGTCTAATGACTTTCTGGAGCACCTTCTGGATTTTAAGTACCCCACAAGACTCTGTGACAAAGGAAGATGATAATAATCAGGAGATACATTCTCTGTACTCTAATTTTTGTTCAGTTTGGGAAAGAGATGTAAACACAGAAGAGAATTAATGAAACACATAGTTATTAATCACAATGTTAGCAAGTCCAAAATGAATGGGAGTAAGGACTAGATATAGGGTAAGAGAGAGTGTGTGACCACCATGGATAGAAGCTGGTCAGGAAGGCTTTCTGGTTGAGGTGAGGGTGTTTTTTTTGTTTGTTTTTTGGGTTTTTCTGAGATAAGTTTTGAGGCAGGTTTTTAGTTGAAGGGAGTGTTAGGTGCACTCTATGCCTACATTGTCTAATAGGGTAGCCACTACATATAAGGCTATTTAAATTTAAATTAATTAAAATAAATTTAATTAAATTAGATTCATTTCAATTAATTAAAATTAAATTACAGTTAAAATTCAGTTCATCCGCTGCACTAGCCACATTTCAGTTGCCCAGTGGCTATGTGTAGCAGGTGGCTACCACACTGGATATTGCTGAAACATTTCACCATTGCATAAGGTTCTGTTGACCAGTGTAAACTCTGTAGGCAGACTGCAGTCTACTGGCTGCCTATTTTAGTAAATAAAGGTTTATTGGAATACAGCCATGTCTTTTTGTGTATTGTCTGTGGCAGCTTTTGTGCCACAACAGCAGAGTTAAAGCAGAGACCGTATGGCCCTCAAAGTCTAAAATATTTACTATCTGGCACTTTAAGGAAAAGTTTGTTGACCCCTGCTCTGGACTATGGGTTTTTTGATATGAGGGCCCCTTTCCTGTGTATTTTATATTCCTAATGTGTAACATGGCAATTAGAACATACTAAGCACTCGGCAAATGTTGAGGGAATGGTATAAGTTAGTAAGATGGTAAGCACATTAACTTCACTCAACTAGAGATGCCATAGAGCTTAGGGAAGATGGTACGTTTACCTCACTAAGTAGAATTTCTTACTTTATAGGAGATACATTTAAAAGAAGGAAGATAGGAAAGATTTAAAGAAAGTGATTGTGGGAGCTATAGCCAGAGTACAACTAAATACCAGTAGCAAGTTTCTGTGATCTACCATTGTCACCTTTTTTTCAATGACAAATCCATCAACCACTTGCTCTGTGGAAAACACTGCCCTTCCAACCTGTTCACCGTGGGTATTGCTTAAGGTGGGGTAGAGAGAGGGGGAGGGTGCATAGCCCTTTCCCCTTCTGTGTTATGCATTTTATATTGCTGTAAATTTATGTCAAACTTATATTCTTATCAAAAAGAAAAGAAAATCAATAAAGATATTGCAGAAAAAAGGATCCAAACCTGAAAAACTATTAAGACTTAACTCCTACCTCAAGGAATGTAACAGTATAGTTTAGTATAATTTATATTAGTAGAAGTCCTCAAACTTCCTTCATTTTAAGACTCATGTGAGATACTTGTTAATAATATGGTGTTCCTATTATCTATTGCTGAATGGAGAAAAAATCCCTAAAATTTAGTGGCTTAAAATAATAATAACATTTATTTTGCCGTGAGTCTCCAGTTAGGGCAGGGCTTGTCTCTGTTCCCCTCACCATCCTCGGGGTCTCTGAACTGGGGCCATAGTCATCTAAAGGCTTACTCACTTGTGAATCAGGTGGTTGATGCTGGCAGCCATCTGGACTCTCAGCTGGGGCCATAATCAGAATACCCGCATGTGGCTTTTCCATGTGGCTGCTTGTCTGGGTTTCAAGGGCAACCAGAGAGGGAAGGAAGGAGGGGACAAAGAAGGAAGGGAGTCAGGATAGGGGTCATGTAGCCTTTTATGACCCACCCGCAGAAGTGATACAGTATCACTCTACTCTTACCGCATTATCTTCACTAGGACTGAGTCATTAAGGCTGGCTCATATTCAGAGGGAGGGGAATTTGACTCTACCTTTTGGTGGGAGAAATGTCAGAGATTTGGAGGGACATATTTTAAGCCATCCAATATAGCTTCTTGACTCCTCCCTTAAAAATTCTGATTCGATGTATCTGTGATGGGCCCCAAGAATTTGTGTTTTTAACAAGCGTAGTCTAGTGATTTTTAACTTCAGGGAAGTTTAAGAAGCACTGATAATGGAAGAGATGGACTTGTGAACTTGAACATAAAGCAGAACAAATAAGGGTTATTTGTTCAAGTAAAGGTTCAAGCAAAGGGTCATGTACGCTGAATGTGAATAAAGGAAATAGGAAAGCAAGCAGTTGAGCATGAAGAAATACAGAAGGGAAAAGGGGTTGGTACAGTAGTTAGGGCCAGATGATGGAAGGCCTTGAATACCATGCTGAGTTTGGAATTTAGTTAGATAAACATTAGAAACAATGGAAGGTTTTTATGACTAGGCTTATATTTAGAAAGATGCTCTGGCAACAATGTAAAAGGTAAATTGGAAAGGTGACAGACTGATAGCTTGGAGACAAGTTCTGAGACTCTCTTGAGAACCCAAGTGAAAGTTATTGAGGGTCAGGGGCAGGAGGAGTGGAAAGGAAGGGGAGGATTTGAGACAGTGTTGAGATATGATTAATGGGATTTGGAAACTCTCTGTTCTGCAGAGAAACTTCTCCACATTCTTGCCCTTTTCACCCTCCCAGCCCCACCTCTCTTTCACTGAACTTGGTTTTCCCTTGACATGCATTCTATCTGAGTTGTGCCTGTTTTTTTGTGTGCATGCTACCCTGAAATTTTCTGGGACCAGGAGTCAGGGATGCTATCTCTCCGCTACTGTTTCCCATCCATTGTTTGGTTTGTTTGTTTGTTTGTTTTCCTGCCTTGTTCTGAAGTTCTAAGCCTGTGCTTTGAGCTTACATCTAACCATAGTATCCTTAGCCTCCCCATCATAGCACCGTGCCAAGCTCCTTGCCTTCATGGGGGACCCTAGCTTCCCAATTCATTTTCTCTTCAGTATTTCTCAACATTTTGGATGAGGCAGATCTTCCTTGTACAGGATGCTCATCATCTTGCCTTCCTCCAAATGCTAGTAATTCCCCCTGATATGGAGACAGCAAAAAAAATGGGGAGGGGAAACCCCAATAAGACCCCCACACATTTCCAAATGTCCGCTGGGGCCATTAATGCCCCCAGTGTAGAATCACCAACCCACATAAATGACCTGTCTGATAGTATGGACTCATCATTTCTTCATTTCTCATTTATTTACTCATTTATTAATAATGCACCATGTGGCTTGTGGGATCTTAGTTCCCTGACCATGGATTGAACCCACACCACAGCAGTGAATGCACTGCGTCCTAACCACTGGACTGCCGGGAAATTCCTGTGGACTCATTTCTTAATCTTCCATATGTCTTCAATCTGCTCATTGTCTCCCATGCCCCATATCTAGTTCCCAACCTTATCACCCAGAATCTGTCTCTGAAATATGTGTTTGGAAAACCCACTTTCTAATTAGAGACTCCTGTCCTACCTATTCTGCCTTCTTATTCCCACTGACCTTGCTCTTTGGCCAAACTGGAATACCCAGGCCATGATTGTTGGTCCCTTTCCTGGCTTCACTTCCTTCCCTGCCTACCTCGGTCAGTCACTTTAGTTAAACTTTCACCTTTCCTCAGTTCCCATCCCAGGGTTTTATTCTGTCATCATTCATTTCAGACAAGATAGAGGATTTGGGTCCTGTAGTAGCACTGATAAGAGGAAGTTGAAAAAAGTTGCTCATTTTAGGGGCTTCTTAATCTTGCAGAGAGAAAATGCAAAGGGCCCTTAGAGGCCACCTTCTCATAGCCTAGCAGGGTGACTGTCTTTTCACCACAACGTTAGAAGAGCAAATGGCAGTTATGCAAAATTGTAAATCCTGAACCCATTAATCAGAATCTGTGTGCCAAGTACTATGGTAGATTCTTGATGGAAATTGATATTATTTCTAATCCTAATAAAAACTATATGAGGAAGGACCTGATCCCTGTTTTATGGTTGAGAACACTGAGGTGTAGAGTTAACCTGCCCCCAAGTTAATATTTTGTGTCTGTCTAGTACTTTTCTTCTGATACATAGATCCTACTATTGAACTGATTTTGAAGGATGAATAGAATTTTATTTGGTAGGCTGGGATGGTGGTGACGTGGCAGAGGAAGAAGAGTCATAGGAAGTAAGGCACAGAAATGGGAAAGAGCATGGGGCGTGATGTGCATTTAAGACAGTGAAAACCAGAGAATCAGCCTGGATTTCTTCTCCAGGTTTCAAACTTGGTAGAGCCATATTGCTGATACTGCTTAAGGCTTTGAGGATTCACTCACAGTAGTTTCCCAAAGCAGATTGCAGGACTGTTTTCCACAAAAGCGTACATTAATTTCTACTTCTAACACTACTGACCTCATTTTCTCTTATTTTGAAACAGTCTCTCTTAAAGAATTTTAATTCTCTAATTAGAATTAGTAAATGGAATTTAGAATTAGTAAATCCTATACAAGTTTAGTTAAGAGACCCTAGGAAACCTTTGGAGGTTCGTGATCAGAGGCTAATATAAAAATGTTATTTGAGGAAATCTTCATCTGGCTGCTCTTTATAAGATTAGCTGGGCTTTACTTTCTAAGTGTTAATAACGTTTCACATGAATATGTACATAAGAGTCATTTTTATAGCATCATAGCTTATGTCTCATGAGTGCTTTATAACTCCAGATTGATTTCTTTTATTAAGCCTCTGTACTATCTAAAGCATTAAATCTGAATAAGGAGGATACTCTTGATGAGTCAGTTTGAACAGCCAGCTTTCATTTCACTCACCAATGACTTCAGCATGGAAGAATCCTTTGCTTGATTAAAAGTTGACTCTTTTAGTAGAATTTGGTTTCTTGGTTCTCTTTAACTTATTTTTTTAATT